CTGCTCCCCTCGGGTGTTCCAAAGACTGGACTTTGGAAAACAAAATGCTGAGGTAAGCTCTTTAGGGGAATCCGAGGAAGAAACTGACGTCAAGGGAGGCGAGCTGTGCCCAGGCCGTGTGTGGACGCCCCCCGACTTGGTTTGGGCTTGTCAAAGCCCAACAGTCGGAAGCAGATGTGATTCCCACCTGACAGAGGAGAAAACTGTAAGGTTCAAGAAAACCGAGGCTCAGAGAACAGGGGGAGTTTTTCCACCATCACAGAGAAAACGCTTCTCAGGGTTAGGATTCCAGCCCACATCCATCTCCTGACCCTCTTGTCCTGGCACCTGGAACCCTAGCAACACCTGTGCCCCCCTCTTCCCACGCCCACAGGAGAGCTGCCGGGTGCAGAGGTGCAGGGGTTAGGAACCGGACTTTGGGGCGCACCCGCCTGGTTCTGCCCCAGCTGTGCTGGGTACGAGCTCTGTGCCCTGGCAGCCTCGCCTGAAGCATGGGAGATGGGAGTGATAACGGGCCTCCCTCCCTCAGAGTATGGGGGGAGACTCAGGTTTACGAAATGACTTGACAGCTCTGGGCACACGTGTACTCTGTCAGAGACGACCGGGGCCCCTGCTCACGCCTGCTCCCCACCTGGTCATCCAGGGGCAGCTCGCAGAAGGCGGGGATGTACTTGGCCCACTCGACCAACACCAGCAGCTGCTCCTTCATGGACTCACACACGTCCCCGATGCTGGCGATCTTCTTGGCCCGAATGTCTCCATTGATCCCCGAAACGGGGGAGGTGATCTGGGGGAGAAGAAGGACCATGCTGGGTGTGGCTGGGCCCTGCCTACACCCTGCGTCCTCTGCAGAACCCCCTCCCCAGACCGTTTCCTGGCTGCTAAAGGGGATTGCATTGCCCAGCCTCCTCAGCTCTGAAGGAAGCCCAGGGGGAAGCGGACAGGAGGCAGTGGGGGCAGGGCAGGCCCCCTCCCTTCTCCACCGCTCCACAGACTCCCAAGGAAGCGCCCAACTCTAGAGGAGAAGCAGGGCAAAAATCCTCACCCTCATTGGACAGATGACAAAGCCATCTGTCAGAGGGGTGCTGTGACTTGCCACGGTCACTCAGCAAAGCATGGGCCGAGCCTTTTGCTGCTTTGTCCACTGGCCACTACTCTGTTCCCCTGGGGCCTGCGGAATGGGGCAGCAGGGTGAGCCAGAGAGTGCCCAGAATGCCAGCTTGGGCTCAAGTTCTGTCTTTGCTACTAGGCCAGTGGGTGATATAGGACTCAGCGCCCCTGCTTTGGGGTCTGGGGTCCTTCTACCTCCAAGGCCTGGCTCAGGGGGACTGGGATGGGGGTGAGGCTCCTCTTCAGTGCAGAGGGAAGCTCTGTACCTGCTGAGACAGCACCTCTGCCTGCAGGAGCACGTTGATGGAGGGCAGGCTGCTGTCCTCATAACTGGACCGGCGAGTGCTGATTCGGTCCCGCTCATTTTGGACAGCTGTGAAGAGGCAAGCAGAGGTGAGGTGGGAGGCCAGGGATGGAGGGATCAGAATGGGGGAGTCATGTGACTGATGAGGAGTGGGTGAGGAGCCTGGGGAGAGACTTTCATCCAGAGGGAGGTTACCGCAGGGGGTGCTGGAGTGGAAGGAGCACAGTCAGGGTGGGGGAGGGGTGGGGTGGGCAGGGGTGTCGGGGAGCAGGCCCCAGATCAGCCTGTAGGAGCCAGGAGAGATGGGTTCTAAGCAGCTGGTGGGAGAACTTCCCAAATGCTGCAAGTGGTCCAGCCAACCATGGGTGCCTGAGGAGTGACCCGCCCCTCCTGGAGGCAAGCCAGATAGAATGGCTGGGCAGCAGCCCCAGGAGGGCAATTTTGAGCACTGAATGAGGAATCTATCTAGATGACAGATTTGCTAGCTCTGTTTTGGAAAAGGGCGCTTCCCTTCTAGCAAAATGTGTAAAATAAGCAAGACAGTGGCAGGCTGATGCCCCAGGTCTCTGAGCCCCAAGCAGGTCTGAGGGGGTCTGGAGGCTCCCGGCTGCTCCCCAGGTCTTGTGCATGTGCCAGAGCTGCAGCCCCAGACC